TGTTAAAGCTCATTATGCCAACACTAGTATTTTTATTGGCTATTATCACATGAAACTATCTTGCTTTGTCTGTTGATTAAAATTATTCAGCCAATTATTTATCACGTGAAGCTTTTCACATGATCTGAATCCGGATCGAATCCAAAATCACATGATACTAGTGGACCCCTTTTTATGGACTTTCTTACCTAGAAATTTACAACCTCGCGTAAATTTTATTTATTTATACTTGAATAAATATGACAAAAAACATAATATTATACAATATTTTATACAAATCATAACAATACTAATAAAAAATGTTTATTTGTTCTAGTCGACGTAAGTTTCTATAAATCGGGAGTCAGGTATTCGTTTCCACAAATCTAACAATGCTTGCCAACTCAGATATTCTGGAGTCCCAGGTGGGAAAACACGACAAACAACAGTACCCAATTTAGCGCGTATCATGACCCTTTCCTCATCCGTAACCCAATCGCCACTTTCTATTCGTAGTACAATCGTCGCGGCCTCAATAATAAGTTGATGCTCGGGATACCCGTGATAGAACATTTCCAAATGGTTTAACGGAGGAAGACTGTGTGACGCATACCGATTGATTGGAAATGGACTTAGAATTGATGAGAGTCGTGAGGATGGAGTCGGAATTGGTGAAAGTCGTGATGACGGAATTGGCGAAAGTCGTGAGGATGGAGTCGGAATTGGCGAAAGTCGTGATGACGGAATTGGCAAAAGTCGTGATGACGGAATTGGCGAAAGTCGTGATGACGGAATTGGTGAAAGTCGTGATGATGGAATTGGTGAAAGTCGTGATGACGGAATCGGAATTGGTATTGGTGAAAGTCGTGATGACGGTGAAGTGGACGGTATGGATAGTCTTTTTGCTAATTTGTTTGAATACTGACGTCGATTGCGTTCTTGTTGCTGTTGTAGTAGTAATTGTTGAGTCTTGTGAATTTGTTGTCGTATATTATTGACATTATCCTTACTAAAATTAATATTTTGCTTATTATGAGTTTTGGATTTAAAGAATATTAAACGTTTTTTCATCGGCGTTGAAGGTGGATTCAAGTATTCGACCATTGGAGCATTATTTTTCCCAATACAATTATAACTATAGCTAATAATACTATTGCTGCTAACACGATCACATCGTTTAGATTCAATACTATTCTTTGCTTTTCCTTTGCCTCTTTTTATACCCTTCCCTCCCTTCTTTAACCCATTAGTATTATCACCATTTCCCCTGCTTCCTTTGGGAAGGACACTATAAGTTGAACTATTATTAGAGATTAGCATTGAAGACAGTGGTGGCGTCAGAGACGAAGATTTAAAAGAATCGAAAGCCTTTGTAGTTCGATAACGGTTCTGGCTGCTACGACGTACACTTAATCTATCACTTGTTGGCCACATATTGATTTTTGTTCTATTATAATTATTGTTTGAATTATTAAATTAATCGTCGAATGTAAGTTCCCGTTTAAAAATCCATTACCGAGTAGAAAAATTTAACAAGTTTATCGGAACGAAAATGCAGAAGCGAGATGTATATACTTTTAACAGTAAAGAGGTTTTTGTTTAAAAATTTATTCAGTTTTTAATTAGGGAGCTCTCATAGTATTTATATCAAAGTAATGATAAAATATATATCGTCCAAGTTTAACTTTTACGTGTTTATCTCGATAAAAAATCGAAGATCGTTATCTAGAATTCATTTAGTTATCAGTTTGGTTTCAGATGGTAATTATTCTGTTTCTATCGCTATTACCGTAAAACGTCGCATAATCCACCCTCCCGAGATTAGACACCCCCTTTTTTTATTAATAGTTACTAATTAACTTTGTCAAGAGAGGAGTGGTTTATGCTTTTTTTTTAAAAATAATTAGCATAAAAGACATGCGATCAATTTCGGAACTATTCCAAATCTATCACTATTAATTTTGATCGATAAGCGTTGGAGCTAAACAAAATAAAGTGATTTAATGAAAGACGAGAATTAAATCCCATACAAATGTGCATAATTAATTTAAGATTCAACTCGGGGGCACCAAGATTTTCTAGTATATATGCTTCGAAGGAAAAAATCAATAACAAAGAATTATTAATTGTTATTTTCGTTTTGATATTCGTAACAATAAAGCTTCCCAACTATTATACTAAAAAAATGCCATTTTATCTTGCTTTTAATGAAACACTTTAAAAAATGTTTACGAAAAGACATCTTTACTGTGATACTTATTCAAATCATCATAAGTTTTACCAAGCAAACCAAATTCAGTTTAAAGTTTGTTTCAAGAATAATAAAAGCAAATCTCACTAAACCAAGAAGACAACAACCAAAACAAATGAAACAACAAAGAAATATACTAAAATGGCAAGAACATGGAACATGGAACATAGCGATAGTAATATATATACGATATCAATGTGTATATTAATTGCTCGAACATGTAGAATAAATACTGTATGTAAATATCGTTCGACTGTTTGCGCACCGGTAATTTGAATTAAATACGCATATTCACTATTTTGCTCGAGTAGAAAATGACGTTAAGCTTTAACGACGACTGAAGAGAGGAAAATGATATTGTTCAGTTTTGTAAATCTCACCAATTTGCTACTTTCTTTTTAATTTTTTAGTGCTACATTATTTAATAACGACAAGGGAATCGGTCTCACGCAAGGTATACGTCGAGTATGAGTGGTATCTAGACATGAAGACAGATAAATGTATGATAAATAATAAAAATATGACAGGAAGACAATAGCTTCATGAAACGAAGCTCTCATTCTCTTTATTTCATCTCTTGCTTTCAAAACTATACTATTTTTATAAAAAGTGTAATCCCATGCAAAAAATACTTCATTTGTCTCTTTTACTTGCATGTGATTTTTTGAATCCCAATAATAATAACGATAAGGATGTCACCAAAAAAGGAATTTTATTGTCTGAACGTGATATTCAGTCAACCGTTCATGATAATGATAACAATAATGAATTCAACTCAACGTCTTTACACACAATCAAGTAAACGATCTTCCTTCGTACATTCTTGAAATTAACATGAAGGAAAAGTCGGACAAGAATAAACGTAAACATTTAATTTAATATTTAATTTTATCGAATGTTTTTTGCTATTGCGTGTAAAAGTGTGTTTAAATGCGTGATTTTTTTAGTGTGTGTTTATTGTAGTCCAATCTAATGGGAAATCTTTTAATGATATATTGGGAAAACAATCACCAATATGCGAAGGTATCCCTATAAAATCAATCGAATGATACCATTTTTTTCGCCTCGCCCAATCCACTTTACCGCTATATACTACTAATACTATGCGATTGTTGCATATTCACTTCTATTTATAATATATGAATTATCGAAGTTTGGCGTGCCAGACTTTTTATCTTTATAGTCTTCGGTTTTGTTTTTTGTTGTTATTCTTTATTTTCGCTTTCTTTCTCTTCTCTACTCTTCCTCTAAATAAAAATGGAAAAGTGGCCTACAACAGATAAACCAAGGTTCTCAGTGCGACGAAGCATGCAAAATTTGCGTAGACGCACTGGAATGTTCAATCCATCATCCTCTTCCTCATCTAGATCATCCTCTTCGTCTTCGTCTTCTTCTAATCCCAATCCAATAATCTCTTCAAAGAAGAAACAAATATCATTTTTTAAACCAAACATCACCACTTTCTCTCATAATAAAAACGACGACATCAACAACAGCAATATAAGGAATAATAATAAAAATCAAAAATCATTTCTATCACATCATAAACATAGCGAAAGTCTCCAAAGTGTGAACACGACAACAAGTACATCAAGTAGCGTCTATAGCTCAATTAGTACAAACACTTCAAACGCATCAATATCGAAACCGTCAGTTTCACGAATACGAAAATCAAATAAAGCACGTTACGAATCTCGCAATTTGCCCGGTCTTGAAGATTTAATGCTTTTCTATCACGGATATCCAAAGCAAAAATTAATAATCGAGGCTGCTACAATTCTACTGCGAATTGAACACGGCGAATGGGTGAGTAATGTGGAAAGATACTTGATTCGTGCGACTCTTGCCGCGGAGATTCGACGACATTGTGAGCCTGGAAGTTTGGAATTTTTAACATGGCAAGCATTGATAGATCTTTGGAATAGAATTCCAGTATAATAAATAATGAACATTATTTAAACAGTAATCAATAGCAAGAACAAAAATCTAAATAGAAATAAAATCGTGATGTCGACATTGCAATTGTAATTTTTGGAACGTGAATTTTATGAGCATGTATTATTAGTATTATTAGTATTATTATTATTATTATTATTATTATTATTATTATTATTATTATTATTATTATTATTATTATTATTATTA